AGCAGTATTTTTATTCTTTCCAGAAACTCATGTAAACCCCTTTTTTGCTTTTCATTTTAATCTGTACAAAGAGCAATCATGACCTTACATTTCAGAAGTCTCTATTTTTTCCTGGTAGCTGCATTACTGYGATCATCAACAATAACCAGCCGTGTCAAATCTGTACATGGAAGAAGACTCATAAAAGGACAATGATGGCTAATCAAATATCTTGCTTGAAAAAYATTCAAAATGCAAACTTTAGGTCATTAGTTCTTCAGATTTTTGTTTCATATGGTAATGTGATTCTCTGACTCAAGGTTGTCAAGYGACTTCAGATATATTTTGGATCAAGGAAGAGACTTGTGGGCTTTGTTAAATTAAATGTGCCATGAAAATCCACATTTCATTCCTTCACAATTTAYTTAAAGGACATTCAACTTTTTGTTCTTCTGTTATAATTATTAATACTATTACGATAATTCTAATCCTCTGTTCCACATGACATTGGCATGTAAGTTCTAAGGGCACAGAACTCTTTAGGGTTTTTCACAGGGAGAGGGTATCTAGATACTGGGATCATTTTTAGAGAACTGGAAGTTGCTTTCTCTCTGGGAAAAAAATCAGCATGTTTGGGTATGAAATTTAATATTAACCAATGTATAGAATAGCTGAAAGTTGTTAAGGTTTTTTCAAGATTCTAAATCACAATAGATAGAGATAAAGATAAAGACCACATAATGCATAATTTGGAATGATGCTATCCCTCTTTTGGAAGCAACTCTCTTGGATTGGAGATTAAAGCTTTTGCATGTACTTAGTATTTAACTTTGGCATGCAGGGAGTACTTCCTCACTTTGTTCACTTTTATAGCCCTGGTATCTGTCCTGGAAGAAATACCCATGCTTTTTCTTTCTAGGGCCAGGAATCCAATGGTGTTTCCTCATCTCCCCTTTTGGATAATTATTGTGTCTGAGGCACATGCCAGGGTGGAACCTGGGGTTAGTTAATCCTGACTGAGTGAATATTGTCACACATTGCATTTTTCACAAGGAAGAAACTCTATCTAAATAATCAGTGGGTGTTCTGTGCCTCCTCAGAAGTCACTATGAGGTCACTATGAAAGCTTTGGTGAGGCAGCTCTTCGCCTTTTCCATTGCCTTGTAGTCTCATCCAAGAGTGGAGTAAAGGAAAGGAATGGTCATTTCCTTCCCAGGCAGCTGGTATCCTCTTTTCTCCTAGCAGTCACTGATATTCATCCTAGATGAGACATGTTCAACAGGGTAGAAATGGACCAGTTCCATCTCTCAGGTGATCATTTGTGTAGAATATGTGAGATTTTTTTTAAGTATCACTCAAATAATGTATTCAAATCCCCACAATCATAGCTGCAAATCACTGGGATAACAGAGAGGCTGGGGGAGATCTGTCAGGAAGCAGCAAATGCAGAGCTGCTGTGCAAGGAAGGAGTAAGAGCAAGGCAGGAGCAGTCGGTGCAGTCCCGTGGTGCACCCATTGTCAGTCACTGAACCAGTACCAAAAAACTCCTTTTGTGCTCATTAGACTTGATTTTCCTTTTGGCAGTGCTTGAGTGCTTTACACTCCATATTTCAGAGTGAATGAGCTTCACCGAGTTGAAACATGCCTGCTCTCTGCAGCGTGCTGCTGAAAGTCATTTGGAAGTACATCTGAGAAAGGACATTTTGGGAGTTTTAACAGGGAAAAATGAGATATGCAAAGTTGCAAAAAATTCTCAGGGTATTGCTACTGTGAAAAGTTCTAGCAATGCTAAAGTTAACTATGCTGGTGTAGCCCTTGTAGCCTTTTGAGAAACTACAGCTCTGTGAATTTCCACGTTACAAAGCACAGCACATTCATTTAATGTTTGATACAATTCTCTCTTAATGAAGTTTGTCATAGACATGGAAGAGCAAGCTGAACATAATATGTTTTCCAGGGAAACATCCTWATTAACTGAATTTATAAAATCAATGCATCCTGATTTAATAAAAACATATCGATTGTTTTGACATAATCAGGAAAGATAACTATGGAGTAGAAAAACTTTGAAGCAGATTATTGAAATTTAGACAACATGAAACAGCTTCATATGACTTCTGGTTTCTAAATAGTAGCTGCAATTTCAATTTCTGTTTTTTCCCTTATTCACAAGTTTTAGCCTTTAGGAGATTCAGAAATACCATGTTTATCACAAGTTAGCCCATGTTCTAAAAAATGTGAATAAAAAGGAGGAATGAATATATAAAATATATATATATATATATTTAGGGAAGTCAACAGATGTTTGTGTCTGCTTAAAAAAATTATTTATATTTTTTTTCTATTTTCTCTTAATTTTTTAACATGAATTTAAAGCCTGAAAGAAAAAAGAGATTCAGCTTTTATTTGTGATTGGTGAATTAAGTCTCAGAATTTTGGGACAGAACCATGTTCATGGATTATTGTTTCTTTATTTGAAACAGCTGGAAACTCAGTTGAAAGATTTCAAAGACAAGTGTTTGCTTTAAGAGCCTAAGAACCTCTGAGCAAAGGAGTGCCAGTCTAAAAAGGAGTCATCACCATTATTGTTGTACTTTCAACCTTACTGATATAATAAGCTTGCCATAAAAACCTTTGTCATCAATTTCATTAATTCCATTAAGCATTTGAAAGTCTACGTAACTTAATATTACCTCAAATTTGTGGAGAGAAAACTGATAATTTGATTTCTTAGCTCTCTTGTGCCTGTATTCTGTTCAGTTAATGTTGACAGAGTACTCTGTTTAATTCAGTAGTTCTAAATGTGTGTTAAATCATTTTGCAAGAGAAACTGTCATCCTGCCTAAAATCTGGACATGATTTGTCTTCAGATCTTTGCTTTTCCATTCTACTGAGCAGTGTGCTGTAAAGGTCAAAAAATCACAAAAAGAGTATATGAAAAATCTTAACGTTATGAGATAAAATTAACCTAGTGTCACAAAAGATGTCTAGCACCACTAGTATAAACAATAAGCATACTTTAGTATTTTTATTTAGTAACATTAATTGACTAATAACCATAACAGGCATACAGAAATGCACAGAAACCATTATTGCAGAATCACAGAATGATTTGGGTTGTAAGGAACCTTGCCCCAACCCCTTTACCACTGGCAGGTAAACCAGCCACTAGATCAGGTGTCTCAAAGCSCCATTCAGCCTGGCCTTGAACATCTCCAGGGGTGGGSTAYCCACAATTTCCCTGGGCAACCTGTTCCAGTGCCTCACCACCCCCACAGTAAAAAATTTCCTCCTAATATCTAATTTAAACCCACTCTCTTTCAATTTGAAACTATTCCCCCTAGTCCTGTTCCTACATGCTCTTGTAAATAGTCTTGTCCCATTCATTCCTGTGAATTCCCTGGAGGTACTGAAAGGCTGCAATTAGGTCACTCCAGAGCCTTCTCCTTTCCATGCTGAACAATCCCAGTTCTCTCAGCCATTCTTCATAGGAGACGTGCTCCATCCCTCTGATCATCTTGGATCATCTTCCTCTGGATTCGCTCCAGCAGATCCATGTCCTTCCTGTGCTGGGCCCCCAGAGCTGGATGCAGTGTTCCAGGTGGGGTCTCAGCAGAGCAGAGCAGARGGGCAGAATCCCCTCCCTCCCCTGCTGCCCACGCTGCTTTGGATGCAGCCCAGGACACGTTTGGCTCTTTGGGCTGTGAGTGCTCATTGCTGGGTCATGTCCAGCCTCTCATCCATCGAAACCCCTAAGTCCTCTCAGCGGGGCTGCTCTCTATCTGCTCATCCCCAGCCTTTGTTGATACCGAGGGTTGTAGCAGGCATTGCCTTTCTTTCCACCATGGACTCATTTTGTGACTGATGCCTAAAATCAGAAGCAGGACAACAACTGTCTACATGTGCAAGCTGTTAATATTTTAGATGTCAAAGAAAATGTGTTATCTACAAGAGGCTGACAGATTGACAAGGGACATTGAAGCATTTTTCCACAGCCATTGAAGTCCAGATGAAATAGCTGAGAGTTCTTAAAAGGAATCTAGCTTCCTGTCTCTAGGCAGCTGCAAAACAATTTGCATGTATTTGCATACATATGTCTGTGGGAAGATACATCCTCAGAATCCAGGAATGAAATTCTCCTGCTTAGTGGCATTCAGCTGCTTCTCTGAAAATTATTTGCTCTCCCAGATAGATGTTCTATGATRCCTAGAAATTTACCACGCTGTATGGATACACTGCTATATGCAATTAAATCCTGCTCTTATTTGGATGCCTTAGGTTATCTGAGGTGTCTGCATGGGTCTGGCAGATCAGGCTCAAAATCTGCATGAGCGTTGCATTCTTCTGCCCTGACATCAGTGAGATCACAGAGTCAAAGAATCATTTAGGTGGGAGTAGACCTCAGGAGTTCCKTAGTCCAAATCCTGCTCAGAGCTAGGTCAGCTGCGAGGTTTACCCAGATTGCATAATTCAGTGGGATCTTGAACACTTACATGGTGAATTACAACATCTCAAAAGCTGCTAGATTTGTACAGAGAGGCAAGTGAATCCAACACTTGACATTTACTACTTGCAGTCTTTCTTCTTTGGAAACAGAATGTTCTTTCATGTGTATGCACTGAACACTTGGTTTTGGGGTGAGGCATTGTTTTGGTTTGGTTTTAAAAATCGGGGATGTTCCTGCAGAGAGATGCCTTCTAAGTCCTTTCAGTGTTATGCTGGAAACAATTAAAAWTAAGTCAATCTGCAAAAGAACACTTAGTTTTCTTCAATGCCTTCAGCAAAAGATTAGTAAGATGGTAATCTTAAGGGCTGGTGAAACAGTGCCCTTAACATCCTTTAAAAATCATGTAACTATTTCATTTTCAGTCTGTGTTCCAAGAAGAAAATAGCCCTGCAAAACTCTCTATTCTAGACAGAAGAAATACACTTGTGACATTCATTTGTCTTTGTCTTTCATTGCAGAGTATTGCTTTTGTAGGAATTACTAGCATTTTTTATTCACCTCATGTCATTCACAGATATTGGCTGACCTGGAAAACCATGCACTTTTTAAGGATGACTTAGAATGCCAGAAGCTTATTCTGGAAGCCATGAAATATCATCTTTTACCAGAAAGAAGAACTCTCATGCAAAGTCCAAGAACTAAGCCTAGAAAATCTACAGTTGGAACACTTTTTGCTGTTGGAGGAATGGATAACAACAAAGGTATTAGAGGGTATTTGTTGCTTTATGAGTTATACTTCACATTTTCAGAAAATGGTGAAATAACTTTCAGTTCCAAGATTGGAGTGGGGTGGGGGGTCTAAATCAGTTAAGATATGCTGCCAAGACTTTTGGTCTAATGAAAATCTACTGGTTTTTAAGGAAAAGCACAATACGGTCAGAGAAAAGAAAATTAATTTTAAGTTCATTCCTTGTTCAAAATTATTATAGTTTTCAGAAAGAAATTTAACAAAAAACCTATAATAATAGTCATATATCTTAATTCTAGATTTCTAGAATTTTTTTTTCCTATATAAGTAAAATATGTCTCTCTGGTTTTTTTTTTTATGATGAAAAAAGGCAGTTTGATATGCAGCATATTCCATCCTTAGGCAATTGTCTAAAATATTATGGATGAATCATTGTTCTTCCAGTGCAGAAATTTGTAAGTCTTCAAGACAAAAAAGGTAGCCAGCTTAAGCTAGATTGATGGTTTGTCAACAGATAAAGGAAGGTGAAATTACCCCCATTTTTTCTGTGAAGAAAAGTAGGAAGAAGTGGATGTTTTGTTAAAGCATTTTGTTGTTATTTGTTGGGAATAATAATTATGTTCTGTGCTTTCATTTCTGGTAAGTCTATTCCACTGATTTATTGAATGGAATGAAACAAAATATTTGAACTAAAAGCTAGATGGATTTTAAGCTTATATACTCAAAAGAGCTTCTTTTTTTTTTTTTTTTTTTTTTTTTTTTTGTTTGTTAGTATTTTTTTTTTTTTTTTTTTTTTTTTTTTGTGGTATTCATAAACAATTCTTCAGCATTTAAATTTTTGTGTCCACATTTAGACTGAAGACTATGCCTTCAGAAACACTAATTCCAATAAAATAAATTAAATAAACTGTAACTATATAAACTATATAAACTATAAAATAACCTGTACTTTAGAAATGTATACTATAAGATTATATCTTTAGTATTTCACAATTCTGTGTCTAGGTGTTGTTATTGCAGTTGTTTCACTACATAGCTGTGGCAATATTTTGAGCAAAATGATATGGCATGTTTTTCCCATCAAGTTACACCAATGGGAAGAATGTATGACATCTGTGCCTGTGTGTAAAATAAATGGGTGACACCAAGAGAAGTGTGACAAGCAGGTTGAGGCAGCTTCATGGTAATGGCCTGAAGCTGAGTCGGGGAGGTTTAGGCTGGATATCAGGAAAAGGTTTTTCACCCAGATGGTGATTGGATACTGGAACAGGATCCCCAGGGAAGTGGTCACAGCMCAGAGTCTAAGTTCAAGAAGCATTTGGACAATGCTCTCAGGCACTTGGTGTGACTCTTAGGGATGGTTCTGCTCAGGGCCAGGAGTTGGACTTGATGAGCCTTGTGGGTCCCTTCCAACTCAGCATGTTCTCAACATCACAGCACGTGATTTTGCCCTTCTATCCTGCTTCCTAAGGTTCCACATGGAATATTGCATCCATCTTTGTTGTCCCATAATGACATGGAACCAGTCCAGAGGAGGGCCACGAAATTGATCATGGGCTGGAGCWCCTCTCTTATGAAGGYAGGCTGAGAGAGCTGGGGCTGCTCAGCGTGGAGAAAAAAAAAAGGCTTCATGGAGACCTGATGATAAGGCACCTTCCAATACCTAAAGGGATCAACAAGAAAGCTGGAGACAAACTTTTTACAMGGGCRTGTAGTCATAGGACAGAGAGCAATGGCTTTAAACTGAGATCATAGGTTTCGATTTGATATTAGGAGGGAACTCGTTATTGGCGGTGGTGGTGAGACACTGGCACAGGTTGCCAAGACAAGTTATCCCATGCCTGGAAGTGTTCAATGCCAGGCTGGATAAGGCTTTGAGCACTATGGTCTAGTGGAAGATGTCCCATCCCATGGCTCAGGAGTGGGAACTTAGATGATCTTTTGGGTCATCAAAAGTGATCAATGATTCTATGACAACAAGAAAGTTTTGATGCAAGAACCATTATGCATGCATATTCTTAAAGTAGCTGCAGATTATTTTTGTCCTTTTGACATTAAAAACAATTTTGTAGCTAAATGTTAGGCATGGATGTGCACAGGACATTGTCTTTGGATGATAAAATAMAAATTTCCTCTTAGTTAGGACAAATTACAAAAAACACAAGCATTCAGGTAGGAAATTACAATAAACCCAATTTGGGTGCAGCTGTATTTGTTCTCATTTACTGTTAATATCTGTTCCTCTATAAAAATACAGAAATATTTAGGAAGACAGCACAAAGAATAACCCCATTACAACATCAACACACTGCCTATTTTGCAGATTCAGGTCAGACAGACACAGTTCATTTCTATAGCAGCRGGAGAAAACACAGAGCAACAGAGGTTCAGGCCTCTGTTGATGCAGTCTCTGGCTGAAAACTACCAGGACTTTTATACATTTACAGCAGATAAAAACTGCTTTGAGAAGGGGCCTGGTATGGCAGAGGAGCATCTGCATAGCAGGAGCTGTGTTACAGCTGGTGCAATATGTATTCCCACTAACCAGGCTCTGCAGCTGTGCAGTCTCAGCTTGCATCTGTTCAGCTCATCCCTCTTGTCATCCTGCTGTGTTCTTGACTAGCTTTTATGCCCAGTGAGTCTTGTTTCCACACATCCATTCAGGAGACCTGAGGGCTGTTTTCTTCTTTTGAGAGTCACTAAGTTTATAAAGCAAGCCTGAATTTTTCAGGCTGGAAGAGGTGCTGATACTGTGTTATCTCTGCTCAATATCTAATAATTTATTTCTCCCCCCCTCAACTTTGTTTACTGAAAGGCTGATATGGATGGTTGCAATTCACAATGATRTATTTTTAATGCTTCCTGATGTTTGCTACCAAATGTGAAAACGTTGCAAATAAGAATTGGATGAGCTAAACAAATTAGCAGTTTATTAACTAGCATATAAAACAGTGGCTAAGTGCAAATATTATGAAAGCATTTGAAGGTTATATGGCTCATCACATAAAGAGTAGCCTAGCATGTGAAGTTTGTTTTGCAATCTTCTATAATTATCTTTCTTTCCATAAAAACGAAGTGATAATTAAACTGCAGCAAACAGCAACTGGAGTTCTGCCTGATGTGAAAAATTAATGCAGCATAGTACTGAATGGATAGAGAGAAAAATATCAAAGTTCGACAAATTTGTAATTTTAATTTCCTAGATGAACTAATAAAAATTAAATCTCTGTTTCCACACACCTTTGCTTATTTATTAATTTAATTTTAAAGGCACATGTRAGAAACACATTTTCTCTGTATGTCAGCATTAATGGAATGAGATGTGTTAATAGATTGGGGTTATGTGCTTCTGACAGTGTTCCATTCACTTTACCTGTTAATATTGTCACACTGACTTCTCTAATTTGGATTGGCAGGATTTATTAATCTAATAGTATACAAAAGTTCACATATAAAGGAGGATGATAGACTGAAATAAATGAGTCATTGCAAGGATGGAATGTACAACAGTCTTTAGGAATGATTAAGCACTGACTTGCTGCAGCCATCCTGGAATCCCAAATGCAGAGAAGAAGTGAAGTGGTAAAACATGATATATATGGTCTATGTTGGATGGTGCTATGGCAAAGTATGAGCAGGAAAATATGCAGCAAGAGGAGATTGGTATCAATAACAGAGCAGAGTTATATTGATGTTAGAATGCTGACTGATTTCTTGTGAGGTGTCCCAGCCTGTCTCACTAGGTAGCAGTTAGAATAATGAGGGACAAGGAGAACCTGCAGAAAAAGAAAACAAAAGTGTTAAGTAATCATGATCCAAAACCACTGGTATATATTACTTTTGGAATAGTCCTAGACTAGTTCATCAAAATCTTATATTAGTTATTTGTTTGCTGAATCCCAGTCTTTAAGTAAATACTAAGGAAAAAGAAATGAAAACTTGCATGATCAAGAAACTCTTTCATAAAAATATGGCAGGTCAGAAATAAAGAGATGGAATAGTCAATTTACTGAAACACTGATGTAATATGTGGGTTTTTTTCATAAATCTTGTGACTAGATATAAAATCTGCTGCAAAAATTGCCCTGATGGTAAACAGGTGGAATGCATCATTGGTCTATATCAAGCAAWATTAAAAGTCCTTTAATTATTGTATAAATACCTTTTAGAAAGATCTTTCCTATTGCCACAGATATTATTAAAAAAATGAACCTTTTGAAATATGAAATTGAAGTCTTTGGTCATTTTTCATTATACACCCATGTTAGATGTTTTTCCTTTTCGTTAATGTATTTTTAATTAGTGAAATAATTATTTTTGCTTCACAAATATGGTTTATCAAATGTGGATGATTATTTACATATGCATATCATTATTTCATAGGAATGTCATCTAGAATAGCTACATTAAGTTACTCTTGTTCCAGTGAATTTTGGAGATGCCCCCATTTTTCTGGGCTTTTTTAGTTTTGTTTTGTTTTGTTTTGTTTTNTTTTTTTTTTTTTTTTTTAATTTTGTTTCTAGAAAGGCATTTCTCACAAGCCAATTTCACTTACACTTCATTTAATTTAATTTTATATTTTTCTTTCCTATATGGGCATTTTTTTTAATTCTAAAAAATATTCAAAAACCTATCGTAAATACTTTAAGGAAAAGCAAAAGTAGGGAAAAATCATGKTTTTTTTTTTCTCTTGGGTAATTCTTCTAGCTTCTTGAGATATGTCTGAGATGTCTGTGACTTGAATCTGTCTCCTTTCTCTTCAGTTCAGTGGGAATTTGTTTTAAAAAAATCCATCAAGATTGTTATATGGCATTTTTCAAGTTGTAGAAATTGCTGTGAACCACTTTGTCTTCACATACATAAAACATTTGACAGCATTCATTATCTATCCATTTGGTGCACAAAACTATCTTCAGTAAACATCTTGTCTTCATCTTACTAGCATTTTTATTCAAAATATATGATGTACAGTAACTGAGTTTAATTTTCAGAATGTGCGTGCTTATAGTCCTG